CTTTATCACTTTTTATCATTTTTTGTTTTGTATGTTTGAAAAAAACTAAAACTAAAAACTAAACTAACCCCTAAATACCATGGAAATGTATGTTTTTATTATGTTTGTTTTATTAGTTTGCTGTTCTCCATGCATTTTTAAAAATAAAAAAACAAATTAACATTTTAGTAAAACATTCAGAGGACCCCCAAGATACCTGTCGCGGACCCCTGTGGGTCCAGGAACCCCAGTTTGAGAACCTCTGACTCTTGCTGTGAGCTGACAGAAAAGTGTATGTTTGACATTAAACAGTTTAAAAATGTTGTGTTTTCTCCTCTCAGTGATGGGGACCAGCTCCAGACCCAAAGCTCCGGCTCAGGTGAGCWGCACTCAGGTGTGTGAGGGTCCAGTTCCTGCTGCGGCCTGAGGGGGGCGCCCCTCGCTCACACTCAGGGTTGGACAGCAGAGSTTTATAGTAACTAAGTACATTTACTTTGTTACAGTACTTAAAGAGTTTTTTTTTTGAGGATTTGTAGTTTTACCAAGTATTTTTTAAAATTGTGACTTTTAATTAGTTAAAACCTAAAAATGATACTTTTACATCTTTTCTTTAAAGTTTAACACCCAGTTATTTATTATAAATGAAGTCTGGAGTTGTTTATGTGCTTTAAAAAATAATGTGTTGAATTTACTCAGATAAATCATGTCAGTTATTTCCACTAAACCCAGCAGAGTAAATTAGAGGTGAAAAACATTTTATTTTAAAGAAACTTGGTTTTATGGAGCCAGTTTGGTTCAGTAAATTCAACCGTTTCTTTGTTAGAGAGCCTGAAAAAGTATTTTTACTTATAGTTTTCTCATCAGTGACGTTTATTTTTACCACAGTCATTTTCTGTTCAGGTACTTTTACTTTTACTTAGTTATTTTTAAAGTACTTTATAGAGCTCTGTAGAGAAGTCAAAGCAGGTCCTGAAGGTTTGTGTTGGAGCCACAGATCCAAAAAACATCTGGGTCACAGCTGCAGCTCGATGGGTTGTTTCTGGTCTGCAGAGACCAGGACCTGGACCAGTTAAAGACCAGCAGTGACAGGAAGTGAAGCTCAGGTGGTCCTGATGTTCTGCTGATGGCTCCGAGGACCTGCAGGACTCAGGTTCTGGGTCCAGTTCTTCTGTTTGAACCGTTTCATTGAGCTGCAGCTCTGGACCTGGGTCTGTGTTGAACTGGGCCATCTGGACCTGTTCTGTGTGTGTGTGTGTGTGTGTGTGTGTGTGTGTGTGTGTGTGTGTGTGTGTGTG